GAAAATTAAATCAATACTAAATTTTTGTAATGGAGGTGACAAACCATGACCCAAGATATGTTCTCTGCTGTTGCAACGAGTCGTGAAAATTAGTAATACTGTTTGTTTGAAAAATCCATTAAAATATTTGTGCCACAATTAAAATTAATTATTACCCCCAAAAGTGAAAATAAATTACAATGGCGCCGAACACTGCAACCAAGCAATAGCTTGATTGCAATCTTCAGCACCAGTGTACTGCATGTCATCACTGCATTGTCAACGTGATTCATCAAACTTTTTAAAAAGATAATCAATAAATTTTAGTTAATTAGCCTAATGATCTACATTTGCTTTTTTCAGGGTGTCGAATTAAGAGAGGGGGGCTATTCCAAGAGACAATTCAAATAATGTATTAAGTACGAGTAATATTTGCTCCGCCTCTCCGTGTTTTTGAGACAAATGATGGGTCACCGGGAAAGTCGGATTCAAAAATTAGACTACTATATATACAGCTAGTGCGAACATAGCGTACGTTCGCACTAAATGAATAAATGGCAGTCCGGTGTTGCTGCGTTGTTGCTGTTGTGTGGGGTAGTGTTCTGCTTGTGTTGTGTGTATTCTGTGTGTTCAGAAATGTATGTATATCTACCATGTAGCGTTCACAAGTTTGGGGAACTTGAAGTAAATTTTTTTAGAGTTTGCTGGCTAAAGAGAGCCATAGGATAAACCATAGAGGAGTCTTTAGCCAACCATTAGACAAGCTAAAGAGCGCTATGGCTGGACAGCGATAGGGCCATAGACAAAGCTAAAGAGCCCCATAAAGGCGACCATAAAAAATGCTAAAGACAGCCATAGAAAATTCTTTAGCTAATTGGGCCAAATAGCTAAAGCCGACCATACAAAGAATTTTCTATAGCCGACCATAGGACATTTTTGTATGGGAAGTCTTATTGCGCCACCGCTGCCACCGCGCATCGTGGGAAATAGAGCCACTAAATGAGCTGCGCTTAGATTATCGGCACTCCGTTCCTCGACATTGTTGTGGGCGCCGCCACTTTGTTGCTTGTACAGAGCAGACGCAACTGCCGATCGTCATGATTCAAAAGTGCGACTTCCTCAGCATTAAATTTTTTGTTAGGAAGCTTATGTAATATTCGTTTGCTCTGTCACGAACTGTTTAATCATTTGTGTAAGGCGAAAAAGCGTTTCCTATGATTTTAGGTAAAGTTTGAGACAACTGGCAACTTTGATTTTATGCCGCAATATGAGAAAGTGTCCTTACCCTGGAGTGTAGCTTATTTAGTGGCACAATACTCCGTTTCATCTTATGTTGTGCCACAGCGAAGGCTAAAAGCGTGAGCTTGTAGCGTTGGCAGTTGCCCTTGGTGCACAAAAGCTTGTCCCGCCGAGATGTGTCCTAGAGAAGGAGTTCGCGCTTGTAGCCTTCCCTGCTGTACAACACAAGGTGAAACGGAGTATAGTGAGAACTGCATAGAGTCTGTATGCACGCGCGATGACCAGAGTGCGAAGCGGCGAGAGCTCTCTCGTCAACTGGCGCCTGCCTCTTTTGAAGTACAGTTGTGGCGGCGTCACGCGTTCGTATAGAACGCTTGGTGAGATGGTACTATCAACTGCTTACAATAAGCGGCTATTTTTGTCTCCGTTGCTGGGTATACGAAGCAAGATAATATGATATGTTACTTTGGGATGTCTAACTGTCGTTAAAAAACCTCAAGTACTCAAAAAAAACAAAAAGATAAAAAAATGTAAAATTTAATATAGAAAATGTCCCATAAAAATACAGTATTGCTTTTATTTAAAGTACAACAATACGTACAGCTGCATCGCCGAACCAGATGCCAAAGTTTCGGAACTAACTGCTATCTTATTCAAAAGTTGGAAGCGATTTCTGGAAATTTTCAACGGGAAATAGTGACTGACCGGAGCTCTCGAAAACACGGAGCTGAAGGCCGCGGCAGTTACCGAGAACTGGGGAAACCGGGCGCCGTTTTTACATTGCAATTTTCAGAGAATCCCTTGTAACTTTGAATTAGATGACGGTTAGCTCCGAAACTTTGGTATCTGGTTCTGAAGCACTGGAAGAATTTGTATTTTATATAAACAAGTACCGCCAAACAGGTGCATGCTGCGATGCACTTGAGTCAAAAATGGCGGAGCGTCGCCACCAATCTATAGTTTGTCGCGGCGGCGCGGCATCTATACAGTATAGACTATAGACCAATGGGAGCGTGCTCGCAAACGGCGGCGCGTCACCAACAGCCACAGCAGACCAATAGAAGCGTGCGCGTCGTCTTCATGTGGGATACGCCATGAGCCAAAAAATGGCAACACGTCGACGGCATTAAACAGGAGCGCCCGCAGCACGATCAAACGATGGCGGTGCTTGGATAAGTAAGTTGTCCAGCGCTCTACCTGGTTTGTACCGCCAACGCTACATTTGAGCGAAGAATGAGTGTTCGGCAATGCGTAACTTAAACTTGCAAAAAAAAAGTAACTGTTTTTTATAAGGGGGAGGGGGGAGCACATTGTACACGAGGAATGAAGGCACACAAGATGAGAAGTACTAAGATGTAGAACAAGGGCATACAATACTCACCGACAGCACATACGCTGTGCACGTTGAGCACCGAGTACCTTATCATCGCTCGATGGTCAATAAGATGTGCGGCACGAGCCGATCGGAGTGTCGGAGAACCAATCGGGAAACATGTACCGCGAACACAATTAGACACGCCATGCAAAGCATATCCTAGTCTCCAAAGCGCCAAGCACACCTACGTCGCAGTTAGATGCTGTCAGACTGGCGTACACAGGTACTACACTCATTCGCTGCTGAGGCTTGGTTCATCGAGTGCACACTTAATGGCAGCGTAGGATCCTAATGTCTTTAAGGAAGCCGCAGAAAATTTTATGCGCTCGTTCGCGATTTGTTTAAATTTTATTTGCGTTTATTGAGGTCCCAACAATTCGGTTAGATACGGGGGTCTGTCATCTGACACTTTCCCTTTATCCCGGGTCTTTAACCCGGGCCTTGCGGGCGCGTGCTCAGCCCGTGCTCATCGTAACGGCTCGAGCTCCCGCTAGCAATGCAAAGCTCTCGCGAACAATCTACGAAGGGTCCGTCCTGTCGAGGAGAATTTTTATGGAAGTACATAGCGTTTAAGGTAGTTTGATTCTGAAGCAGTTCTGGATACTTAATCTTTTATTTCACAAGTTGATTATCTAGAAGCTTAAAAAAATAACTTTATAGTTCCAATTGAAAACCAAAATTTCAAAATATACACGCAAAAAAGAAAAAAAAGTGAATAATTTCTTCTCTATTTAATGAACTCTCGGAGCCCTGATAAATGTAAAATCCATAAAAGTACTGAAAAAAAAATGGAAGAAATGGTGCCAAATACATGGATTACGACTATTGCAGTTTATTTGGCGTAAAGACTTTGCTAGATTTAATTTATGATATATCAAGTAGATTTTTTTAATGTCTGATGTCTTCTTTCCTTGATATGTTAAGTGTTTTTTTGTTATCTGAAGTGTTGCCATGAGAATTAGTTTCATTGCTAGATATTGTGTTTCTACAAATCAAGGCACATTTCTTTTTGTCTTGTTTTTATTTCTTTTGCCTCTACACATACAAGCAGAATGCTGCTCTTGTGGGCTAGCAACTCTAAGTTGTATAATTTTAATCAGACATAAATATGTACTCATGTAACATTCGCCTTTTCGCATTCCCCCAGGTTTGCACCTGTAGCACAAAAGGCATTTTTCGCGTACCAGTACTCTCCTGACTCCCTTCAAGTCATTGGAAAATTGACCGATTCATTTGTTGTATATGACACTTAGGAGGTTTTTAACTAGAATTATGTTAATTTTTACTAATCAGGAATGTAATTATGCAAAACGAACTAGGAATTTTCTTACGCAAAACGCTATTTACCTTGCTAAATACACCTGACAAGGATTAATATAGTACCTAAACTTTTTCTGTACGATGCGTAGTTTTTGTTGGAACATTGTGGTTGGCGTTTGGCGAAACACTAAATGCAAACTTTACTCACGTACTTTAGAGTTTTTCTAAATATAGGAACACAAATCATCGAGCATCACGGGCTTAGAGCAATTCACGCAAACACAGGAGATTGTCCAAGTCCTGTAACATATAGTGGATAGTTAGCTACAAAAAAGATAAGGAAGCAAACTGCACCCCATTAGAACAACAACAAAAAAATCATTCGTAAACTAAAACAAAACAATCAATGACAAACCACGAAAAACAACAAAAAGTGCCCTGCCGGGCTTTTTTGTTGTTTGTAAGAAATATATTTGTAAGAAATAACTATGGAAGGAAAAATTATACAAAGGTTTCGATCTACATTGTTTAAAAACCACAAAATACAAACAAATTTCGGCAGGGACACTAATTAAAACCGCTTACGTGTAGGAACGCAAAAGCATTCATACACGCAGCGCGATCCTACAAGCAGCGCACGACGTCTTCCTTTTCCACACGGCGCTCCGGCGGTCACATCTTGCTCCCCCACTGCGCAGGCGCTGCGAACCTCGACGGCTTCACGACGGCTTCTGTGACGAGGCATCTGCGTTGCTGTGCTTTTCTTTGTGCTTTCTTTCTGTGGCGCGTCCGCTTTGCAGCCAATGGAAATTTATGTGTCGTTTCGCGCAGTCAATGGGCATTTAGGTGCCGTTTCACTCAGCCCATGGGTAATTAGGTGCCGTTTTGCTTATCCACTGGGTATTCACTATTTAGGTGCCGTTTTTCGCTGCTACAGACATCAGATAACGTCTGCTCGCTCCAAACGCCATTTAATGCTTTCGCAATAAAAAGAGACTCCACAATCACCAAGTAAGTTTATTTCAACCCAATTATGCCCAAACTTCCGAATATGTACGCCCGGTGTCTGGTAGGTGCTGTGCTTGTGCAGTGACCAATCCCCTCCTTGCGTACCATGCACCAACAACTTAAGGACTACAGCTGGTGCAGCACACCATCACTTCTACTAGAGACGTGATCCGCTGGCCGTGTATAGAACACCCAGCAAGGTTCCTTGTTCTAGGCGTTCCTGTAGTCCGCATGGTAGACGTGTCCGTCGGGGACAACCATAATCATCATGACGTCCTCCTGCAAACAGAGGCACATTGTGATTACCAGGGTGCAGCGAAGATAGCTGCATCGCTGTAGACAGATCACTGTAACGAAGACAGCCGCATTACTACAGTAATAGCCTTGCCATTATCGTTTGCAACATGAGATCAGTAGATGTTCGGCCTGCAGCGCCTGCTTTCTACATTCGATAGCACTTCGGGGCATGCGCAGCCAAGCACGCTAGGAGGCAACGATCGAGTGCTCGCTGGAGACCGAGCTACTCGTGCCGATCTTATGTTTGTCTACGACCTTCCCAATTAGTTTGCATACAGCGGCTTACGTATTGGCGTCGTTCTTTGTGTTGATGAAATGCACGAGCATGACGAGTGGCCTCTTCAACGACAGAGCTCAGTAGGTTCGACCGAGGACGTATTTAGGCCGTATAAATTTATGATTACTCCATCTTATATATATATATATATATATATATATATATATATACACACATATATATATATATATATATATATATATATATATATATATATATATATATATATACATATTTTTTTTTTTTTTTTTTTTTTTGGTGGGGGGGTCGCTTTATGTACTAACCGGGGTCATTTTGGCTACCGACGGGGCGACTTCTCTACTTTGGGTCGTCATCAAGTACCAGGCGATGCTCTTTTCTGTTCTCGACTACTGTTGCTGACTCGGTCAATCAGGGTACGAAAAAAACCTGAACGAGCTGGAAAACACTTCTTCTTGTGCGCAATGAAAGACAAAAAATGGAAGTTCATCAACATGACGTCCGACGAGATTTCTAGCCGTAAGTATACGTAACGGGTCAGTGCAATGAACAACGAGACTTTGAGGACAGGTCAAGCAGGGGGCAAAGGAGGGATGCGGTGGGCCGTGACGGCTACGTCCATCCGTGCGGACGTAGCCGTATCGGGGGGAGAAAGAGTTCCAGCCACGCTCGCTTTCGCACTGCACGTAGACATTTCTTTCGGTGCATGGGAGATAAGCGGAGGCATCAGGTTGCTTTCTCGCAATGTCAAACTTTGCAAAGGCCGGTCACAGCAATGTTTGCTTACGTTGGGTTATGTTACGAAAGTTTACGTCCGCTTACGCTGTGAGTCTGCGCTTCATATTAAGCGTGGTAACCAGTTCAAGGAGTAGCCTTGCACGCGACATTTGTGGCGCGGATGCTGCGGTAATTTGTCACTGGGGTTCCATGTTATCGGATAAATTCGAAAAAACTCCAAGAAACACTCGCCGGCAAAATTTCCATCAATTCGGATTTATCGGAAAAACTTTGAATTGCGGTGTCCTAATACCAAAAACAAAGACTGTATTCTACAATCAAGTTCGATCAAAGCACAGGGTCAATGGTCCTGAGAAAATGCCACACTACTTTCCTTTCAAATCTCGGATTATTGACAAAAGGCTTCTTCTGTTTCTTTCGTCAAGGTTCCTCCATGACAACAGCTCAGTGTTCTTGGCCAGAACGAAAACCACCGTTTCGGTTTCAAGTTTGGACCATACATTTTGCGTTTCTTAGAGGGTCTGCTTTCGTAACAGTGTAGATTATGGACCAGCGATTTGGTCGAAGGGGCAAAGGGGAGAGGGCAGTTGAAGTTTCTATATTATATATGACCCTATATCACAGCTTCCCAGCGGTTACCTACAGGAGCCTAGTGATTTTAAGGTATCGACGCTTATCTAAGCTGCACTTGTTCTCAAATTTCGTCGTGGGACAGCTTAGTATTGCCAACGCCGAATCCAGCTGAATACATATTATTTGATACAAGGGCATTATTTTGAATCTAGCACGCGTTTGCACCCGCAAACTATTTATTTCTCTTTTTGATAAATAGAAAGGACTGCGAAATGAAGTTAAAATTACGGAGAATCGCGTATCTAACAAAAATAAACTACGACAAACTCCACATTTTCGGAAAAAAAAAAAAAAAAAAAAAAAAAACTCTTAAGAACAGTTTAGATTTTGTCGAAAAATAAACTTGAAAAACACGTAATCCTACTTGTAACGTAACGTAAGAAAACGTAAGCAGACGATTCTGTGTGAACAAGCCTTGAAATAAAGCGCAAATACGTGTTTTCCGTTTTTCCACTCTGCGCACTACATTTGTAGAGTCAGGCGGACTGACGGGTATCTTGCCGCACAGCGTCTATTCTTGATCGGTATCCTGGCGTGCGAAGGCAGAAAGACGCTACACTCCGGCGTGCCAAGGAAGCTTTGATCGCGCCGCGAGACCGGCTAAACTTGATTTCGGCGAGTTGTGCCTTTTTTTCTGTGGAACTGCGCTTTCGTAAAACTTTCCACGTATCCTCAACGGCAAGTCTCACCACTTACACACGGTTTAAAAAAAAAAAAAAAAAGTTCTTCGGCGAACGACGACGAACGAGTAGAAAACGTGTCTTCAGCACGCTGCCGCCATCCTCTGCAACGCTAGCAAAAACACGATTTCATCGTAAGCAAGATGGCCGTCCGGTGGCAGCACTTGCGACCAAGCGGTGATGCGCAATCCAGCAATTCCCATTGAGATCAGTGGCGGGCCCCGACAAATGTTGCCGCGGACTCCTTTCCGCTTTGCTGGTGAATACAAGTAGCTCTCCTGTCGTTTAGAATAGCCACAAGAGGGACTTTGAGATCACTTGGCCTGTTTTTCGAGGACAAGAAACTAAGGGTACCTAGCGCTCCAGGCAAATAGCTGCCATAAATCCGTCTTCGCTTCGATATTTGAGTCCGATTTAGCGCTTTGAAAGAGGGGGAACAGGCTTGAATTGTAAGTGAAATGTATCGCATTCGGACACCTTAGGGGCGGCATGTGATGTTAGATGTGGGGACGGTCGTGTGGTGCGAGAAATAAAGAAAACGACAGACAATAGCTTGCGCAGTCTGAGCGGAATCGGCTCGAACGCACTTCCCGCGGAGCGGGTCACGTGACCTCAAAATCTCTCTCGCGGCTATTTTAACAACCGGGAGACGTCCCCGCATCCACCGGTAAACCGGGCCTGGGGTTTGACGGACCACAATTTGGGCATCTCGGCTTTGGAGGTCAGGAGTTTCGAACTATAGGCCTGTCGCCGAAACTCACGTCCGGCGTCTTGGGCATGAAGCGGTGGTAGCACTGGGGAGGCAGGACAATGTGGTCCCCCGCCCTGACGTCCGTGCGCACCCAGCGGTCCTTGTCGTCGCGCACGTCGAAATAGAGGGAGCCCCACTCCAGGTAGCGGATCTCGGCCTCCTCGTGCCTGTGCTCCCGGCACACGTACGTGGCCAGCTGTCGGGGTTGGGAAGCAGAAAGGCACACACTGTAGTCAGGTCGATCCGATCCGTTGTGCCGCATATATCTATACGGAGTGCAAGTTCGTCCGCTTCTTTCCGCAGCGGTTGCGGGGATGTCATGACTTAAATTAGGGTGAGGACTATAAATCAATTAGATATATTATGCCTTTATCGATACCGCCTTGGAAGGCACAACCGATTTAAAGCCAATTTGAAATTAAAAAAAGAAATGGGTGGCAAGTTTACCAAATGTTATTTTTTGAAAATTAAAAATCAATTGAGGGGAAAAATGCCGAGCTCCGATTGGCTGGATTGGAAGGATAGCGGGTAGACCTCAAGGCAGCTTGCTTTGAAGTTTATCCGTCAATCAGAGCCAATCGGAGCTCGGTGTTCTGATGTCACCGCAACCCCTGCAAAAGATGCAGACGAATTGGCGCTTTGAAGGTAAAGGTAAGGTGCTTCACTGATCGTTTTATTAGTTTCTAAGTCACCGGGTGGTGGTGACGGCACACCACACAACTATAGCCAGCCGGCAACAGCCAGGCGGTGCCAGCAGAGTGAGAGCCAACTTTTACAGCCCGTCTCGTTGTAACTTGGCAAAGGATGAACCATGAGCTCCACAGTGAGTGCTGACGGCTTCGATATGCGCCACGAATTCGAGCGCAACGCGCACACATTGGAGCACGACGCAGCCAAAAACCCTGACACTTATTCGCAGTAAAAGCGCACTCCGGTGATACGCGCCGTCACGTTCCGACTGGTCCACCAGGGCCGTAGCCTCCGCCGTATACTGGCATGTTATGCGATCACGGCTTTCTGGCCTACCCAGTACTTCTTGCTATAGACACTAGGCTAAGCGGCGCCACCAGAATAACAGCTCATGTTTGAACGGTGCAGCCGCCACTGCCAGTCATGCCCAATGTTTTTTTGCTTCAGTCGCTAGATAGCGTCTTACCAAACAACATTGTAGGTTGCCGATACCCTTATATTTCACTCAAAGTTTGACCTCAGCTGACGCTATAGGATCTGACGAAGCCAATCAAGCAGCGCTAAAAGTCCATTGTCATGAAGCTTGTCGTCTTTGCGCGTCGGCTATTACCGGCTAAACAAACTAAGCACAAAAAAAAAGGTCGCAGACTCACGGTGTGTTTGCTGCGCATGAGTAGTTTAGCCAGCGAAAGAAAACGGACAAAAGCCAAGGAGTGCCGTTGACGCGCGAACATTGTGTGTCATCGGCAAACATTGCGCGTCAACGGTGCGTCAACGGCGCTAGCAGTTCATATTTGGCGCTTTTTGATCGGCTCCGCCGGGTCGTAGTGTTGACTGCGATCGGACTTAATGTCGAACGGAGTACATGTGCATTGTTTCGTCTATACTCCGTTGAACTTTAAGCTGAGACTAGAAGCTCCGATTTCAGCGCGAGCTCGCTGGCTTGCGCAGTGCTTTGGTTGCGCGTGACCGCGCGTTCACACTTGTGCTAGCCAGGGCAGAAAGCTCGCGCTGAAGGCGGAGCTTCTATAGTCTCAGCTTAAGGGTGAGCGGAGTTAAATGTTGCACTTCTCAACGAGGGCTAGAAGTTCAGCTTCCTGATACGACATGCTCCTGCCCGATAGTCCGAGCAGCCAAGATGCGTGCTTCTGCGAAGAACTCGCGCTTATAACCTTCGCTGCGGTATACGCATCTCAGGTAAACCTGCTCAGACGAATTTAGTTGCCCTCATTCGCAACTAATGATGTCTGTCGATACCTCTAAGTTTCAAGGTGCCCTTCTACGTGGGAGATGATAAAAATACCAAGCCTTTGGTTCAGAACCATATTTACGTCGGAGAAATTTAGAAAATTGTGTTTCCGTAGAACGATAGCTGGCTGTCACATGGAACCCTGCTTCGAAACACACACACCGGATAACACCACATAGGCTATGAGTAGAGCAACTTTGTCGGCTCCTAGAGTTGTGGTGACGTCAGAACGACGTCGAGCTTTGATTGGCTTCGCTTGAAAGGATAGTGGGTAGACCTTGATGCTAGACGCCTCCAGGTCTACCCGCCATTTTTTTTTAATGAGCCAATAAGAGCTCGTCGTTCTCACATCGTCGCAACCCGTGTGCAATAGAAGCAGACGAACTTGCGCTCTGAATAGTCGCCGACGGCCGAAGAAACGCGGGGTGTGGCTTAGAATGTTTACCATTCGTAGTCGGTTCTTCGGCGAGCTTATCGGTTAGCGCCGCATCGTTGTTGGCTGCGGTACAAAATTGCATGTTCGGGACACGCTGCGCCACGCGTTTTCTACAAGCCGTCAGCAAATATAGGTGGCGTTGGCACGGATTTGTTTACATTATGCAAAAAAGGACATCGTACTCCGGATCCACCGTTTATAAGGTTACCATAATGTAGTACGTGTGCCATCAGTCATCGAGATGGCTTCAAAAGTTTATAGTGTGTTGTTACAATGAAGACGGCGCCACATGCTTGACAGCGGCACGCGCTGTCTCTGGACCGATGTACAGTACACATTGTAAATCGAACCATTCTTGATCGAAACTCCGATCTGGCGTGGCGTGTCTTCCTTTACCGGTGTGCCCGCTTGGTCCCCTGCCACCGACCATCTCGCGTCCTACGCGCCACGCAATGTAAGCCTTTCAGTATCTTTACAGGCCTTCGGAGGCGCTGTCTTTGTCGTAGCTTTCATATCTCTCTCTCCCTCCCCCCCCCCCCCTTTCACTGTGGCCCTCCGCGACCATTACACACAGCAGAAAAAAAAGCTGTCGCTTGTTGACAAGAAAAAAAAAAAAAAAAAGAACGAAGCAAAAAAAAAAAAAAACAAAAAAAACAACATAGGCCACGCAAATAATTGTAATTTCTTGTTTTTTTTTTCTTTCGGAAGAATAAATGGCACATTGATACTTTAGACCCATGTTGTTGTAAAAAAAAAACTATCTCCAAACTCCGGTCTAAAAACATGCTTTTCGTGCAAGGCTCGTCAAATAATGAAGCGCTGGAGAAATGCAGCATTCTGCGTTAAGTCCTTATTTCGAACTCTTTTTGTTCGCCTTCCGCCCATTGAAAAGCATGCGGCAAGGGCCTTAGAACGCACCTGGTATCGCTGCGCTGCAGCGTTCTTCCGCATCAAAAAGTTCGTCTGCTTTCCTCGCCGTCACCATGGCAACGAACGCCGAATGAATAGAAGCACGCACGGTACCGCCGTGTGAAGCCAGCAACAGCTGACGCGATTTTACGAACGCCGTCTGCTAGCCAAAGCCGAACGCGGTGTGTCAGATCAACCGCCTCCGCCGGTGCGCCGCTAGCAAAGACGACGAAGCTGAGACACGCCGACGGCGATCGAGCAAGCAACAACACCGCGGACGACTGCAGCGGCGGCATTTATTCCGCCTTCGCCGGTGCGAGGCTAGCAAAGACGACGAAGCTGAGGCACGCCGACGGCCGCCTTCGCCGGTGCAGGGCTAGCAAAGACGACGAAGCTGAGGCACGCCGACGGCGAATGGGCGAGCAACAGCACCGCGGGACGACTGCAACTGCGGCTTTTATTCGGATCAAAGGCGCGAAATAAGCAAGAACAATTTTTATTTGAATCATAACACCCGATATCCAAGTTGGAGACCACACACCTTTGCTGGGTCTTTTCTGTGAACTTTTTACAGAGACACGGGGTGCCGCATTCAAAACACAGCTCCGTTTGCAAAATATGGGGGCCCTGAAAAGGGCCGTTTAGACCGCTACCAGAACCTATAACTGACGTAACGAGCACTTGACGAGCGGTTGGCGCATAAGTCGTCTGTATGCATGCAGGCGGGTGACGGGCTCAGCGCAGCGGATCCCTCGAAGTCACCGGGGCCGTCAGAATCCTCGCCCTGTCTGCGTCGGGGCTCTAGATTTTGGCGGCCGCGGCGACGAACGGCTGGAATCTATTAGTGTTTCCGCGCGCCTTGTCTCTCCTCCAAAACATGAACTTTGCAAGGTGACCAGTGAAATGGTGGCTCTCGCGCCGTCCAGATGGAAGAGAGTTTTTGAGGTGGGCCCAGGTGCAATCCACCGTATTGGTGTGCGCACCAGTGTTCGCGTCGACAAAGTGCAGCCCGTGGTCGACGGTGAGGTGCGTGAAGCGAGCGTCATCTGGAAGCTTGCGATAGCCAGCCCAACAATCAGTGATTATTCTTGTTCCAGGGCGGACCCACTCGGCTATTAGCCCTTGCACGGTTTTAGCGTCACGGGTCTCCACGGGAACGAGAAAGCAGCACCCGCTGCAACGCGCCACACCGCCGAAAACCCACTGGCCAGGCCTTAAATACCCGCGATGGTGCTTGTGCCGACCGAACATACTTTCGTCTAGTTCTACAGTCACGCCTTCGCCACCAATCACGTCTGAATGCTTAAAGACGGCATTTACCACAATCTCCCGACAAAGGCTCACCCAATCAGTTATGGTCTTACTTGCGATATCAGCCTCCCGCTGAATGACGGAGCACGGTAGGTTCTGGCATCCGGAGGATGATTTTCACGAGTTGGAGAAGCGTCAGGTGCGATCCTTCGAAAAAGGAACCGCTCGGTACAGAGACCTCGCCCCGGCACTGAACTTTGACCGGCTTCCTCCTGGGCACCTCACGAGTGATCCACAGACCGCACCTCCCCCCCCCCCCCCCACCCCCCCACTTCACCGCGTAGCCATCCGCAGATCTAGCGCGGACTTGCAGCTTGTCATCGCAGCTTCGCACTCTGGACACGCACGAAAACCCAGGAGCCAGGAGCAGGCCAACGCGCTAAAGCAAATTAATTGCTTCAAGAGGGTCTTTCATGGCGCCATGAAGACGGCACAAGTTGAACGCCATGGCACTGCGTTGCTCGCCTCTGGGTGAATAAAGCGCTGAGGGGGAACTGCGCGCTTCTTTGCATTTATTATTTTTATTTCATCCGCCATTTTATACCTCGTGACACAATTCTAACAAACTCTTTGGTTGAACGGTCGGACCACACCATCGCGTGACAAAACAAACGCCAAACCAGAGTCCTGCCAAACGTACGTCCACAGACGGTATCGTCAAAGAGAA